TTCATCATATTCTCAGGGTTTGGAGGGGAGAGGGCCATGGAACTATCCTAGTTAACCACCAACAGAAGGCTTTCTGGGTGAAAAGCAAATCCTAAAACTAAGATTTAAATTTTTAAAAAGCAGAAACTGTGGTATTTTGAGTAGGGGAGGATGTAGCTCCAGGATAGGGGCATACCAGGGGTTGAATTATGTCCCCCGACAAAAGTGATATATGAGCCCTGGTCCCCAGGACTTCAGCATGTGACTTTATGTGGAGATGGGGTCTTTTACAGAAGTGGTCAGTTCAAACGAGTCCCGGAAGTGAGCTGCAATCCAAAATGACTGGGACCTTACAAAAGAAGGAAACGTGGCCCTCTGGGGAGATCGACACGCACAGAGGGAAGAGGATGTGAGGAGACACAGAAAAGATGACATCAAGGAGCCAGAGAGGCCTGGAGTAGAAAAGAAGCTCGTCTGTGGCCCTAGGGGAATCAGGCCTGCTGACATCTTGATTCAGACTCCCAGCCCCGAGACAATGTATTTCTGCTATTTAAGCTTCCTAGTTTGGGATACTTTGTTCCAGTTCCAGTTTCAAGTGAATGTTGGCCATACTGTCTGCGAGCCTTTCTTCCTGTGAATTCTTTGAAGAATCTCTCTTCTTCTCCTGGTCCAAGTGTTTCTTCTGCATCCAAGTCTGCCTGTAGCTTGAGGAACAGGCACCTAACCAAGGCTGAAGCAATTGGCATGTCCATCCCATGACACAGTGATGGCTTTGTAAAAACCGGGCCAGGACGGAGTAGCGATACTGGAAGGACATGGGCCTGGAGCCTGTGGGGCACCTCACTGGCCTGAGGGAAAAAAACTTCTGAGAGGGAAGTCAGTGAAGAGAAAGGCCAAGCTGAGAGAGAGAGAAAGAGTTCCAGTGTGCAATCGGAGCAACAGAACACAACTGGCCCTGAAGCTGCATTCGCCTTCACTTTCCCATATTTAACCACCAATTTTCCTTCACCCTTCAGATCCATCTGTTTAGATTTCTCCCACTAGCAACTGAAAGCATTTGGATTGAATGATACAGCTGGGTATATCAACCTGCTTCCAACTATCTCGGCTTTCTCTATCCACACTTCTTTATCTTTTCCACTCCATCCTTCAGTATGGGAGGTCCTCACTTGTACAGAGGTGAGGACTAGATGGCATTTATATGCCTCACTCCTCAGTGCGCATGAACCCGGAATGACAGTGTCCTGCAAATCTAGTCTTTTGCAGACCCCTGTCTACCAGCCCTTTTCAAATGTGCATTCAACCCCAGTCAGAAAGCTTTGCTTTAATGTATCAAGGACATTTTGAAGGGAGAATTTGAGGAGAACCTGCATCTTGGTTAATCATGCTGAATACACTGAGTGATTAAATTGAAACAGAATTCCAAAAATGAATGAAAGTGGACAAGATGGATTAATGGTCTAGTGTTTCTAAATGTGGCTTTTTTCTCTTAGGGGAAAGCCATAAATTTGAAAATAAAGAATGTATAGATGAATGTGTCTGTAATTTTACTTTTGACCATGAAATGAAATACACTTGGGAAGGAGGGGAGTAACTAAAACATCCTGAGCTGTCTGTGGTCCTGAAAAACCAATTATTAAAAACACGGAAACTTTTTATTGTTTCCTTTTATCACAGGTAATAATGAGAATTTTTCTCATAAAAGATAGAGTATTCTTAAAGAATTATGAATATAGGCAAAAAATTTAATCTCATCTTCCATGAATTACTCCTGAGCAGATGAATTAATGAAGTACACTGCTTTCTTAATTCTGACAGATAGCTTTAAATAACAATGTATGGCTACAGGGTAAAAATAAATAAAAACTCTTTTTAAAAAATCACTAGCCAAGAAATAGAACGTCATCTAGAAGATGAGACATTCTACTCCTTAGTCTTGGTTATAGCTGTTTTCCTGGGGGTGTTGGTTTGGGTTTTTTTGTTTGTTTGTTCGTTTGTTTTGTACTGGGGATTGAACTCGGGTCCTTGCACTTGTGCAGCAGGCGGTGAAGCCACTGAGCTAAATCCCTGGCCCTCTGTGTTGTTTTTTACAAAGAAAAACCCTTTTACTTTCTCATCAAGATTTAAATATCATCGTATTATCTTTGCTGTTAGAATTTTCCTAATAAAAACACAATTTTTCACAATAATATTTTGAAAATAAATATAGTTCTGTATTCTTGGTACTCTTTGGATTTGAAGTCTTTTAGAAGTTTGTTTGGTTTTTGGTTTTGGGTTTTGGGGTGTTTTTCCTGTTAAGGTGGAGGAGAAAGAAAAAATTCGGCAAAGGGAGATTCCATCTTGGACATTAAGCTTTGTGCAAGATGCTTTCCCACAGGGACAAAGGCAGAAATGTACCCGTGAAGAAATATTTCCCGCCTGCATAAGAATGAGGAAATTTGAGATTTATAGCTCTTAACATTGCTCAATAAACAAGTTACAGATCCAAGCTAACCCTGTCTAACTGTGTATCTAATGATATCTTTCCTTGGTACCTTATCAGTGCGGCATTTCCTTACTTACTTCACACCTTGTGGTTTTGCTCTGCTATTGTGAGAGGATATTTTATTTCCCTGCTAGGCAGGAAACTGCTAAAGATGGAAATTCAGCCACCTCTGTTTGGAAAGAAGCCCCATGGCCTGTGGTTCACGTGTAGTTGGCCAGGCTGGGGTTCAGAGCTTGACTGCTGCACTGCAACCTCAGTTTCCTTCATTCCATTAATTTCTGTTTTAATTCTAATTCTAATTCTATTATAATTCCATTAGTTTCTACTTCATAGAGTTGTGTGAAGAGTTTAACAAAATAGTGTACATGTGTAATTGATACATGCTTCACCCATATCTCAAATAAACAAAAAACAAACACAAACCAGACAAGAAAGACTTGAACATTGGACATTTTGGAAAGTGGTGACCTACATATTAAAGTAATGTCGATTGCCTTTGTTGTATGCCAGACACTCCGCTCAGCTCTGGGAATAAAGCAAAGTATAATATGTCTCCCTAGCACTCGGTAAAGACTGAGTGGGTTTCTGATAATTTGATTTAAATGTGGGTTTGCATCTACACACCTCCCCTGGCCTCATCCTGTCATCTCTCTTGGCCTCTTCTCTTATTCTGTGCTCCACCAGTCATTTCTCACTGGGTTTGTAAATTCAGCTGTTATCTTCCACGGGGCTCTGGGCCTGTGTAAGTCTAACTGCCTCTGAGACTTGTCACGAAATGAACTCATGATCCCCTCTCCCATCCGACCTCATATTTCTTCTCTGTCCCATCAAATGAGACTCCAATTGACTTAGCAGAAATCTAGATTCCTCCTTACCCTACAACCAATTGCTGTTATTCCAAAACATATTTCCCAACATATTCTTTCGCTACCTCTTCTCAAATTCTGCACTAAGACTTCCTTCCCAATTAAGGTCTTCATCACCTCCTTCCCCCAAAATCACATCCTGCCCTCTACAATCCATTTTCTACCCAACTGCCAAAGAGGCCTTTTGAACATACCATGCCTCTGGGCAGATATCCTCAATGCCCTCCATCCCTCTCTCCAGGAAGCAGTCTAACCTGCTCGGTTCACTGTGGCACTTCAAGAGGTTAAAAGCTAGTACGTCTATGCTCTGCTCAAGGTGAGACACCAAAGGTAGACTGAGATCAAAATGTCAGACTTATTAATGAAAATGTAGAAGAACCAGGCTGACACTTGGGACAACAATAGCATCCTAACAATGCTCTCCAGAATTAGATTGCTTCACTGGGGGGCATCCACAGATATGTCAAACCAGGAAGGACAGATTCCTGTTACACTGTGGCCAGCAGCAGATCAGAATTTACTCCATGTGGAACAGAAGAGACATGGAGCCCAGCAACCGACTCCTGAGCAAGAGGAAGTAAAGAAGCAGAGATCTGGGAGAGAACTTCTAAAAGGAGGAAACAGGAAGCCAAAAGAGCACTGACAATAGAAGTCCCCGTGGAAAACAAGGAGCAAGCAGAAATGAGGTTCCTGTTCATTGCCTCATCCTCCCGGTTAGATCAAAGCCATGTCCTTTGTTGTCACTCCCTACTTTTTAGCACCTCCTGTCCCAGTTGTCTCTAATATCTCACTTTGAAACTGTTCTTGTTGAAGGACTTCCTGAGGCCCAAACAAATAGAGCCTTCCTTTGCATCCAGGCCTTTGACCACACTGCTTCCTCTGCCAGGAAGGTCCCTTCTAGGTTCTGTGTTGCTCACCCTTAGAGGCACATCCTGGTCCTCCTGACATCTCCTTCCCCTCACCTGCAAAGCCCTTCTCTGCTGTCCCTGTTGTATGCTGTACACATACTCATTACTGGAAATGCAGAACCACGGTTACCTGGGCCTGGTTATCTTCCCTGCATTAGTGGAAGCTCTTGAGGACAAGGGACCATCACTTTCCCCTCTGAATCCTCAGGGCAGAGGGCCACGCCTAGCACCGGGAGTAACCTCTAACAGTACCTGATGTCTAAGTGTAGTGGTTCTCCATTCTTCTGCCTCTTCAGCAACCCATTCTCCCTTGTCCTAAAATGACAGTTTGGTTTTCTTTTAAAGAGCTAATATCCTCCTCCCTTGCTTCAGAAAGGGCCAACATGACTGGTTTTAATCTTGAGCAGAGGGACACAAAAATCGTTTTGCTGAAGGTGCCTAAATATCCCCAGGTGATGAGGAAGCAGGACTCTGTCGAAGGGAAGGAGGAAGAGGTGGGGGAGGGAGGAAAGAAAGGAGGGTCCTCGGCTGGGTGTAGGACAGTGAACTGGTCAGGTCTGCAGGGACAAGAGACTGAGCTCCAGACAGGAGCTCCACACCCCAGGGTCTGGATGCCACTCTCCCTTCAGCTCAACAGCTCCTATCTGAGTGGCTGCTTGCTCCCCGCACTATTTTGGTACATCTATTATTGGCTCCCATTTAGGGTCTGTTTATTTAAATCTGCTTTCAACTGGAACATAATTCTCTTGATTATTGGTTGGTGCTGCGACACAGTAGGGATACAGATAATTGTCACTGTGCACATGCTGCTGGAAATGTAAAATTATTATCTTTAGAGAGGTTGAGTAGGGTGTTTGAGCACGAATGTTACGCAGCTCGGGCACGTGGAATGTGTAGAGCACTCATCTGTTGGCTGCCTCCCTTCCTCTGCTGGCCCGGCTCGCTGGTTCTGGGCGACACCCAGCTCCGGGAGCATCCTGCCGGTCACTCAGTGGCGAGGAAAGGACAGCAGGTATCCGGCACCAGGGCCCGGGGCCTCCCTGGTTGGCAGAGACCGAGGAGGCTGGAGAGATGCGCGGCTCAGCCCCCCCCCCCCAGCCCCCCGGTGCTGGGCACGTCCCAGGCTCCGCGGCCTCCTCCAGAGAACAAAACCAGGCAGGGCGGGGCGGCTGAACAGTGCGAGTCAGAACTGGAACTCACTCGGGGGAGTGGGCGCTGGGAGCACGGCCCCTCCCACAGGTCCCCTGGGCTCGGGCCTCGCTCCGTCCCTCACCTGCTCCCACCCGCACCTCCTCCGCCTCCCGGGCACACCTACCTCGGCCTCGGCCCCCCACCCCGAACGAGCCGCCTCCTCATTTACAAGCAGCTTCCCTAATTGCTTTTTAGGGTCCCTTTTCTGCGCTCTGTTCAAAATTCAGGGGGCGTTCCCCAGCCCCTTTTATGCTACTTTTTCTGAACCTTTTCAGCCTCTTTTACAAACTTAGCACTTTCTGTGCCTCTCTTAGTCTCTGCGAGAAGAAAGAGCCTCGAGAGGGTGTGTTTTTTGTGTTTTTTTGGCAGCAAAGCGCCTTCTCCGGCACCCCTCCCCCTCGCCCCACCCCCACCCCCCCAAAGCACACGCATTGGCCCGCCTCCCGCTGAATGGGGCTTTGTGCGGGGAATTTCCGGAACATAGCCCAGTGCCCAGGCCTCTGTGTGAGCAGGGGAGGGGCCCGGCCGGGCAAGGAGACCCTGAAGCCCACCCCATTACCACGGTCACTGTTTGCCCCGGATTCTCTGAAAGGCCTATTGTTGCCCGTTGCCAGGTATTCCTTAGCAACACTTAAGCCAAGCTGCCTACCCTATTTAGGCCCAAAACTTTTCAATGGCCTCCCAAACCCGTGCTTGTCAGCGCTGTAGACCGCTCCTCAAACAGCCTCGGAGGGGAGGGAGAGGCCAAACCATCCCCCGCCGCCTCTGCTTTTCAAATATCTGCGTTGGCCGCTCCTTCGGGGCTTCTTGTCATTTGCCGGGGATCAGCAGGCCAAACAATTGCAATTAAACTTTCTCCCTCCCAGCCCTCTGTCTGCCTTCTCTCTTCTCTCGCCAGCCCTCGCCCATCACAGACCCCTCTCTAACCTAATATTCGGCTGGGACTGGGTTTCATCACACCCTGCAAGAGGCTCCCCACTGCTCCTGCCAACCCTTCCCCAGGAAATGGCTTTATTATTTTAGGAGAGTTTGGTGAGTTTGCGTGAGGGGTTTGAGTCCTCCCGGCTCTGGCAAGGGTGATAGAATCACAGAGTCTGTGTCGTAGGAGGGGTCTTAATGGTGCTCCCCATGAGGGTCTGGAAGCACAGATCCCGGAATGGCCTGGCAGGAGTCACCCAGTAATTTACTGACGGGTGGGGTTCCGGAGCCCGGAGCCCCCAGCCCGAGCCCTGTGCTTGTCCCCACAACATGGCCCCGAAGTACAGCAGAAGCAGATTGTCAGACGGAGAAAAACGCCTGTCCCTCAAAAATCAACAGTGGAAGGGGCAGGTTCTGGTTTTGGAGGAATCTGAACTCTCCCTCCATGCTTGTCCAGGCCCCGGGGGGCAAGAGCATCCTCCAGGGCACCCCAGACCAGCAGCCTGGGCGACTCCCCCAAGGTCACAGGACTCTGACTCTGCCCAGAGCCCAGCACCAGAGCCTGCCACTGCCAGCCCAGCCAGCGCGACGGACCCCAAGGCCCTGCCTCTCCCAGCCCGAGAACTCTGCCTGCCTCCTCTCTCTGCCTAGAAACTTTTGGGACTGGAATTACCAGTCCTTTGGCCACTTGAGACCCAGTTCAAATGTCATTTTTTTCCATTGTGCTTTTGAAATTTCTGTAATCTTTATCACATAAATTTTTAAGATTATTATTTTGACAGCTATTATAATCATCTTAATTCTCATAATTATTACTACTTAGACATACATGGAATTTATTTATCATGCTCCATCCCCAAATATGAACTCTGAGGGAAAAGTGCTTGCCCTTTTATTACGATAATTCCAGAGACTAGTACCATGTGTAGAACATAGAAATTACCTAATAAATATTTGACGAGTGGATGAATGAATGAATAAACATTGATGATAGCTATGAAAATTATCACTCAAGTCTGATCATTCCCAATATGATATCTTTTTTCTTAGGGCAGAGTAAGCATGATAAAAGGAATAGCACCAGTATATTTCAGGTACTTCCTTATAACTCAGGATTTCTCAACGTTTGAAAAATATCATCATCGTTGTTATCATCATCAATTGTTACTATTGCTTTTCTAAGAAAACTTTTAGCCATTTTCTCCTAACTGGCACCATGAGATTATCAGGGATACACTTCATATCTATTTATGTGGCCCTCTGAAGAGATAGCTAAGATCTCTCTCCACCCCAAGACCCAATTTTTGCCTCTTTGGAAGTGGCATCTGATAACTAGTCAAACCATTCAGAATAAAAACCTACAGATTTCTGATGGTGCCATAGCACCACGGAATTCTGTCTCAGATGACAGTGAGGGAGAGCTGTCTCCTAGCGTAGGTGTGGAAGCACTCTGGCCATACAGAGGGGCAGAAGGACCGGGATGTGTTAACTCTGGGCTCCAAGCCCAGCCCTCATATTACACACTTCACAAAGGTTTTTAAAGATCTTTAGAAAAACCCTTTCAGCTTAGGTAAATGTGGTGTTAAAACCACCAATCGTTAACCTCTTGCCTCTTCTTACTCAGCCCCTTAATCAGATTATACAAAAAACCTTTCAGTAGCTCCCGCTTTCTAAAGCCAGCGTGTGACCATGAGGTGGAGTTTTTAACATACTGGTTTGGAAGTCTACATTTAAAAATTTTACAACTGGATATGTCCACAAAAATAGTCTTCTTTAAAAAAAAATTCTGCTCTGATTCCCCCAAATCACCTGTAGATTACAGATTGACATCTCTATATTCCTATATTCAGTATCTTCATTCACTGACTTACCAATTCATCAAGTGTTTATTGAATCTTGTCTCAGTGTCAGGCATTGCACTGGAGGCTACAAGAATATAATCCTTTTGTAGCATTTTTACACGAATGCCAGGTGTTAGGGTTGCATGATTAAAGGCCTAATCATCGCGTGCTCCTTCTGATATAGGTTCTCTGTGTGCACAGTTCTTGATAATGCTACAGGAATGCCATCCTTTCTTAGTAGAAAGTTTGGAGTCTATTCGCCTTGTTGTGAACATCCGCTTTGTTGTTGGTCCAGCATTCTGCCTTTCTTTCTTGTAGTCATAGCAGCCCCCCCCCTTTCTTTTTAGAGGAGCTCGGCTCGCCTGCTCTGTGTGGCTCTGGAATTACTGGAGTAGAATATGTTGCTAGGATGGTGGGCAGATCACCCAGGCACAGACAACCATTGCCACATGGCTTCCCTGAATGTCTGAGAAAAGTCCTTCTCTGGGTTGGGTACTTCCCCTTGTTAAAATGGAAAGTCCTGTTGGGTGTGGTGGCACACGCCCATAATTCCAGCACTCAGGAGGCTGAGGCAGGAGGATTACCACAAGTTCCAGGCCAGTTTGGGCTACATAGTGAGTTCAAGGCCAGCCTGAACTACATAGCCAGGCCCCTCTCAAAAGACAACAACAACAAAAAGGATGGGAAGTCCTGTGGAATGATGCCAGAATAATCCAAGCTCCCCTCTCCATTCAAGGGTCCTGAAGTAAGGAAAAACCCATTCCAGAAGTGGAAGCCCAGGGGTCTGGAAAGCTGTGTTGCTCACTGCTACCACGGTGAGAGAAGGTAGGACAGAGGGAGGCCAACCTGGCTTCTGCAGAGGGAGATGGAGGGCTGCGTTCCTGAACATTGTGTCTGGACCTGTGGGTAAACCAGGATCTCAGAGCTGAGTAGGGCAAAGTTCAGACCTGGAAAGCAAATAAATCAGGAACTGGAGAAAAGGGCCCAGACGGTTGCTTCACACACCCACCATTCACTGTTTTTGCTGACTTCACGGGCTGGTGACAAGGTAAACGTGGCACCTGGCAGGCTAATGGGGCCGGCCACAGAGACACTTCTGAGAGGAGCATAAATTCTCCTTTTAGAAATTTCTTGATTCATTGACTTCTAAGAAACATTTACTATGCAAGCAGCAAGTATCTCCCTTCTTTCTCCATACTAATGTTTTCCCGATCTCTGCATTCATGTTTTCCCGATCTCTGCATTCATGTTTTCCCTTCCCTCATTCTATCACATTTTTCTCATTGGCCCTTGTGATAGGCTGAACAACACCCCCTAGATCCCAAAGATATTTATATCTGAGTCCCCACAAACAAAGAACGTGTCACCTTACAGGACTAAGGAATTTTGTGGTTGAGAATTTTGGAGGACCCTTGTAATTCCAGCACTCTGGGAGCCTGAGGCATGAGGATCAAAAGTTCAAGCTCAGCCTGGGAAACTTAGCAACTTAGTGAAACCTTGTCTTAAAATAGAAAAAAAAAAATCTTTAAGGGCTATGGATGTAGCTTAGTGTGAAGGCCCTGGGGTTCAATGGTCAGTACTGGAAAAGGAAGAAAACAGGAGACTTTTGCAGATGTTTTTAAGTTCAGTGTTTTAAGATGAGAATATTATCCTGGACTATCTGGACTGGCAGATGGGGGAGATCAGAGCACAGGTGACAAAGGAAGCAGCTGATGCACTTTGAGATGGATGAAGGGGCCATGAGCCAAGGGATGCAGGAGTTAGAAGATGTAAGTAGGCAAAATCTCTCCCTAGGAACGGCAGAAGGAATTCAGCTGTGCTATCCTTTGATTTCAGTGTCAAAAGACTCATTTCACACTTCAAAAGAAAATAAATGTTGTAATGTTTTGTAGTAATTTCTATGGAAATAGTAGCAAACTAATAAAACCCTATTTCTAAATTATTTCAAATCTAATGGGCCTTCCATTCTGATCTCTTTTCAGAAGTCACTGAACTAGCGACTTGGACATTGCCACTTTGCTAAACTCAGCCCATCAGTGTCTTTCCCGTGTTTCTTCTGTCCCTGTGTCATGTTAACATCACCCCTACCTGGAAGAGGCTCACCCAGAGAATTTAGAGCATTCTTTGGTTCTTCTCTTATTCCATATTTTCTAAGCAATATGGATACATCATCTTCTCTCTGCTTACTGACACCAACTTCCTTTGTTTAGATCTTCATCTCTGACAAGCAGATTATCCTAAAAACTTCTTAATGATCCCTTGCTGCTAGTCTCTCCCTAGGAGGCCATATGTGATGCCAACAGTTTATCTCTAACAACTGAGCAATCATTCTTCTATTTGAAAACATCAACTGGCACTATCACCCAGGGACAACACACTTGCTGAGTAGAGTACAAAGTCTGTCATGGTCAAATACCTTTAGTATCTTGTTCTATCATTTTAATATCATCCTTTGTAACTTCTTCCCTCCAAAGTGCACACAGGCACACACACACACACACACACACACACACACACACACACACACACTGTAACCGAAATAGACAACCCAAAATTCCCTACCCAAAGGCCTCTGCATGTTGGAACATGCAGTTTTCTGTTCTTCACATATCATTTACTTCCACTTTTTACCAGGTAAACCTCTTCCAAACCTACCACCCAATACCAATGTGAATGCTTTCCCAACACTTCCGCGGCCTCTCCCAGATGAGGAGTCCCTTCGGTGATTTCACACCATTTAATTCCTGCTCTTATGGTATTTACCCATTGTATCATGGCCTCTCATTTGTACATCTGTGCTCCCCACTCCATTGTGAGCTCCTTGACAATAGGAATTGTGGCTCGCTTCATTTCTTTTAATACCTGGATTCCAGTTTGTTATGCTACCTGGACCTGATAAGATTCAATATTTATATTACTATAGTCTTAAAAGGTCAGGAGAAAAAGATAGGATTTACAGATGTTTTTAGGAGTTACTGAAATGTCCCAAATTTGACAAAAAACTAAACAAAAAAATCCCATAGACCTACAGAGCCAAAAAGCTTCATGAACCCCAAAAAGAAGAAACCCAAATAAATTTATGCCAAATAAATCTATGCCAAAAGAAAAATTAATAAAACAGACTGCAACAAAATTAGAAATAGAAACTTAATTTTTGAATTCTACATAAAAAGGATAAACAGACAAGCTACAGCCTAAAACAAATTTGCAATCACACAATTGATTAAAAGATAAGTATCTAAAGTATACAAGTAACTTTCAAAACTCAACAGTAAAAATAACAAATGAAAGCCAGTTAAATTAAAAATGAGCAACATGTATGAACAGATATTTCACAGAAACACACACACACACACACACACACACACGTGTGTGTGTGTGTTTTCAAAGAAGCCCAACATTCAGGCTATGGTAGGGCCTCTGCTATCTGCTTATAGCCAGATCTATAAGAGCAAAAAGCAAAACTGAATTATTTTAAGTTTACACTTTTGCCAGAAACATCTGCAAAGTTGAGGTAAAGAACAGCATGTTGCTGAAAGATTAACATTAAAAAGAGTTCAAGTACTTTGTGCAGTGATCTGTGGTTTGTATCTGGATGTCACCCCAAAGCCTCATGCATTCATAAGTGGGGATTTGAGGAGGTGATTGGATCACGGGGTATGATCCTCTGTCCACTGATGAGTCTACTGATGAGTGGAATTATAGCAAAATGTGATGTTGGGAGGGGAATCTTGGTCAGAAGTTGTGGGTGGCTGGCATGACCTGGAAGGGTCCATCTTTCTTCCTCCTCCTTTGTTCTCTTTCTGCTTCTTGCCACCATGCCATGAGGTCTTTCTCTTTTGTCCTGGCTTGGAGGCAGCTGACCATGTACTGAAACCTCTACAAATTCTGAGCCAAAATAAACCTTTCCTCCTTAAAGTTTCAGGTGTCTGGTATTGTGTCTCAGTAAGGAGAAAAGTAACGAAGAAAAGGGACAAGACGAAAGATACTTTGCAGGCTTCTCAGAAATCAGCATGACTGAACCCATCACAGGCTCAAGGGTACAAAAGCATAAGTCTTCCGCTTGGAAAGAGAGTCCCTGGGACACCTTCTCATTCAGACTGTCTAGGGAAATGCATCCCCCAGCTCAGCTATCCAGGCACTCAGAGGCCACAACAGCCATGATCTAAAGGGGGCAGCTTGTGTTCATGCTGGCAGTTGACCTTGGTATCATGCATATAATACTGATTTTTCAGGCATGCAGAGTCTAAAAGTTATGGGATCATAGAGGCTTCCACCCAGACTTCAGAAGATGGCCTAGGATGCCAGGGAAACATATGTGACAGAGTTACAGTCCCTGCTAGAAGCCCAAGAAAGGGCAGAGGGTGAAGCGAAGCTGTGATGGTGAAGCCAAAGGTACAGTGGAAACCCTGGAAAGTTAGAGATGCTGGGAACTCTGCCTACTTTTCCATGTACTGTCGCCACGATATACTGTGCCACCATAGGCCAAGTGACCACAGACGAAAACCTCTGAAACCATGAACCAAAATAAACCTTTCCTACTTTTTAAGTTGATTTATCCCCAGTATTTGTCACAGTAATGGAAGGCTGACTAAGGCCTTGTTAACATTCTTTGCCAAGCCTATTTCCTCAGTTACTCTTGTATTTTAAGAGCTTTCCCTTATATGTCCAACACATTTGCCTTTTTTCTTAAGATGCCATATTTAAATTTTGTTACTTTTCAGTCAAGAAATGAATTCATTCAGTATAGCTCACCACTTGGGATGACTCAGAAACTTGGGTTCCCTGGACTGAGTTTCTGGTGTCTCCATAGCCATGGCAGTAAGAGTCTCTCAGAGCACCCTTTTACTCACACTGCTTGGTGCTCAAAGCTCCCTCCCTCTGCCCAGGCTGTCCCTCTGTCCTTGACTTCCGCTTCTTAGTGGCTTCTGTTTCCTGCCTTCCCTCAGCCAGGCTGAGCTCATTCATCCCTTTACCAGTGTCTCCACTCCAGCCTTCTCAAGAGAGAATGGGTGTCTGGGCACTGGGTCACTGTAAGGGATCAGAGATTTTAAATCACAATAGCAGATAAGTTCCTTTGGGGCTGAGATTGATCCCTGGCCTAAATAACTGCGGTCAAATTCCTGAGGGTGAAAGTACCTGGATCTATCCATCCAGTGAAGTCCCTGAGAGCTTGGAAATGTGCACATGCATTGGCCTTTGGCTGAGTAGGAGACACGCGACTGTAAGACATGGAGAAGGGATGGAAATAGAAGCTAAGTGGTTGAATGAGGGTTCCCCTGAGGTATTAGCCGGGGGAGCAAGGAGAATGTTCCCAAAGCTTATTGGAGAACCCTGGTGTGTTTTGGTAGGTATGTGGTCTTTCTCTGAGTCGCTCAAGCTGAAACAGATGTAGGGAGGCCAGCCACATGGTAACTTGGAACAACGCAGACCAATGCAGGTTGTGCAGGTCACCATGTGTGCAAACCCGGATGAGCTTATGAGGCCCTGTCAGGAGCTCTGAGGCCTCTCTCGGCCTAAAACAGGATGACAGCTCCTTCTGCTCCCGGAAGTGAACATCGGAGACCTCTTTGCCAACTGCTTTTGTCTTCCTATGTGAAAAATCTCCAGCCAGAGGAACGGGTCTTCGTTTTTGGTTGTACAGAGGTATGAGTGATGGTTGATAGCCAAGCCAGGGTGGTGTTTGGTTAGAAAAAGCCCAGAGAAATCATCCTAACTTCGAAGAGCGTGGTACCCCATGGAACCTCAAATGAAACACAATTTTAATAATTGCTATTAATTAGAACTTTGCACTTTAGAAAATGCTTTTAAAATAGTTAATTGTAGTTCATCTTTGAGGGCTTACAATGGCCATATACTGAGCTAAATGTGTTGTATATCATCTGATTTAATTTTTGCAGTACTTCTCTGAAATAGGCTATGTGATTATTTCCTTTTTACAGATAAAGAAATTAAAGCTTCCAAAGCTAATATTGACATGCCCCAGAGTCACATAGTTGGAGCCAAATCTTGAGGGTGTGTGTGTGTGTGTGTGTGTGTGTGTGTGTGTTACTGGGAATTAAACCCAGGGGCTGCCTTTGCACTGAGCCACATCCCCCATCCTTTTTTTACATTTTATTTTGGGCCAAGGACTTGGCTAAGTTGCTGTTTTCCAGGCCGGGTTTGAACTTATGATTCTCCTGCTTCAGCCTCCCAGAATCTGGGCTTACAGGTGTGCACCACACACCTGGCTAAGCCTCTGACTGAACATTGTCTAACCCCAAACCCAGCCCTAGCCACACAATTTACTTCATCTTCTAGGTATTCATAATAACCCATTTATGTATTTATTAGCTCTATATCAAAAGGAGGAATTTCAGCAAAATTAAGGCATTCTAGGTCACACCACTTAATGGAAAATAGAGTAGGACAAGAACTCAGACCTTCTGATAACCTAAGGAGAAACACCATGGTACAACAGAAACATCATGTTCAAAATCAGATGGACAAATATCTGTTGCTGAATATATTTATTGTATGGTTTTAGCCAATTTCCTAGGATCTCTGAGCCATAAACCATTATACCTACATTTGAGGAGAATTGTAAAGATCAGTGAGATAATTTACACACCAAAAATTAAAAATTAATGTTTTTCAAAGTCTCTGCTCTTGGCACATAGATAAAATATGAAAAAGGAAAAAACGGAAACAAGTCTTTGTAAATAGGGAGAGGTAGAGGGGTGGAAGAGAGGTCAGGGGAATGGGGAAAAAATAAGAGCCAAGATATATCATGTAAAGGTACAAATTCCCAATGATGAATGTCATCACATTGTATACCTAAACTGTACCAATAAACTTAATGAATAAAAACAAATTATGATTAAAAAAAGAGCTAGCACTCAGAATCCTAGCTGGAATTCACAAATAAATCCTAGAGAACACAGGTGCAACTTACCAAGGGCTGATGTCCCAAAGATTCTTGGGACAGGTGTTATTTAGAATCCTGAATGGGATTTCCCATATGAATAATTCCAATGTGTGGGTTTGAAGTTTGTCCACAAGCACGTCATCTTAGGTGGAAATAGTCTTTGAAGCTGTCATCAAGTTGTGGTGATATTGGATCAGGGTATCCCTAATCCGATGACTGGTGTCCTCAGAAAATGTGGGATGTTTGGACACACAGACAAGAGAATGCCATGTGGTAAGAGTCAGACAGGAGAGGGACATGCCTAAATGCCCAGGAACACCAGGGACACCAGGGATTGTAGTGACCACTGGAGCTTAGAAAAGGCACAGAAAAGATTTGCCCTCAGAGCCCCAGAATAAACATTGATGCCAGTCTTTTGGTTTCCAGAACTATGAGGAAACAAATTTCTATTGCTTTAAGCCACTGTGTGTGGTGCTTTGTTACAGACATCCTAAAGAACTAGTAACAGTGCGTTGATTGGAGCAGCCACCATGTGCTGCCTGAGATAAAATGAGCACAAAGCGTATTGGCTTAGAGCAACAGCCATGTATTTGGCTCACAATGCTGTGCGTCAGCGACTCAGGCTAATCAAACCATGGTCCAGGGACCAGAAGGACCAGCCCCAGCTGGGAGATTCCCAAGAAACAGAGTCCAATGCCCAGGCTGGGTCTACTAGATCAGAACCCATATTCAACAAAAATCTTCAAATGATTTTTTGGCCTGGGAAAGGTGGGAAGTACAGACTACATGCGTCTTGAGCTCAGGTTCCTTGTGACCACTGAGGGTCAAGCATCATACCAACCTTCCAAGAGCCCTCCCAGAACACCCTGGATTAAACACCCCACATTTGTGTCCACCACAGCAACCTAGAAATGGGAAACAAGATAGAAAAACAGAAACCAAAATCCTGAAATCTCCACTGACATGGACACTGAGATCTTGTCCTCTGGATGACATAGCCATCACCCTCAGGCTAACCTGCCATCTGTGATGAGAAGACTCCCTGATGAAGGTAACTGGCATAACAGCAATTCTCTCCTAAGAGTAAGTGTGTCCTTCCAAACACCTCTCATGCCTGTGGTCCTGTCCATGTGCTGAGCTCCTCAAGGTCAGCCTCCCCTATTCTCTATCTTTACTCTTTCCACAGTTCTTCCCAACCAGCTTTCACCTATGCCTCCCAAAAGGAGAGATCTCCACTTCTCTCAGAAACGCTATCTTTTGCAGAATCAAGTGGCTTTTAAAGTAAGTGTAGTGGCTGGTAATAGCTGTTCATAGTCTGCTTTTCTGAACTGTCCAGTCTGTTTCTTGAGCACCACTAATTCACAGAACTTTGTGAGAGCAAAATGACAAAAGTACACGAAAATTCTTTGTGAAATTTAAATAATATAGGTGAATTACTCGTCATTGTTCCTTTATTGTTCAGTAGCATGTAATTGTCCTTTTGAAATATATAACCAGACTGTTGCCTGACAGTGTCTGTCCTTACCTTATCTTTCAGAGTAGTAGAACCCTTGATTTTTTTCTGAAAGATGTGTCTGTGCCACTGAATTCCACGTATGAGCAGGTTGAATGTGATTTCAGGTGCGTCTTTCTCTCACCCCTGGCTTGAGTGTGAATATGATTGCCACCATCTTGGATCCGATGGAAGACACAGCACCTTGAGGAAAGTTGAACAAGAGAGATTGCTGCTACTGTGGATCTTCAATGCCAGCTCCTTACTTCTTATATTTGGACAGGGACGTGATTAAATTTCTAAACTCATTTTGACCACTGTTATATTGGTCTCTGTTCTAAAACTTAATAGATATCCTGTTAATCCTATTAATTAGATATCTTAATAGATACCCTAAGTGGTGCAGCATGGATGTGCCAAGAAGGTTTTGTATTTACTGTGATGTTTATCCCCTTACTCTCAGATGCCGGGCTACAGCTTAGCTCAGTTGGTCAAAGCACAGTGCTAAGATGAGGAATATCATTTCCTGCCTGGGCCAGCTGATTCTGTGCTATTTCTAACCACCTCTAACTCGCTTCTCTGGGATGAAAATGAGAGTGGATAGACCTCACAAAGACATGCCCGCTATAGTGGGAGGGAAGGTTTCAATGAATATAGCACCTACAAACAGTGCAACTACACAAAAGACACAACTAAAAATGGTATGTGATCCTACAGCATTGTGAGAGTTGGTCACTATTTTGAGGACATCTTGGGAATATATATTAAAGTTAAAAATGTGTATGTCCTCTAAGTCAGCAGCTCTGCAGCAATTCCGTTTTCAATCCCTACTCTAAAGACAGTCTCACAGATGTATGGTAAGGTGATTTTGCATGGACACCCAGGCAACTCTGTCTGTTGTAGCGCTTGACTGTCTCTAGGATGCAGATGCATACAGTGGACCCTCGAATTGTGACAGGGTTGACACAGAAACAGCTCAGGATTATGACCAGAATTTTAGTTTTAACTTATGATCAAATCTTGAGTTACCACCCAAATGCTGGCCTCTTGTGCTTCCAGATGGTCTCAGACACAGGTTTAACCCTTACAGAGCTCTGGAAGGAACATGACAGCATCCTCTCCCATGTGGGGCTCACTGAGAAATCCTGGGCCGATGTCTCTCTAAGGACACTGAGATCTGCCTGTGCACAGGAGAGAGGCTTTGAAGGCTGTGTAGAGGAGCCTGAGCCTTCATTGACGAACCTGAGTTACAACCAGCCCTCAAGAATGAATTGAGTTCTTAAGTCAAGGGTCCACTGTACTTTGAAATCTTGTGCTGCCATTTTCTAGAGGTAGACTTACTTAACACAATACATATTATATATAATATACAGACATAAGATATACAGTTATCTGAAAAAAGACAGTTGTAGAATACCATGTAAAAAGTAACATCATACACATTTCTGTAAAGCACATACACACACACACACACAAATTAGGTTTTCCTAAAACCTTATATATGAAAATACCATAAAAATACAAGGAGGTAAAGTTTAATTCCTACAGGGTAACAGTGACTCCCCCTAGAATGATGACTAGTATTGAAAGGGACAGTTATTATTTTTTATACCTAAACATTTTACAGTGGGGATTAATTTATTACTTGCTAAATAAAATTAAAACATTTTTAAGCAAGAGATTTCAGCATGTAACTATTCCTTTTATTGATGACTCTACAGATTCCAAAAGTATGGAGCCATATTGTTCAGTAAATATATTTTGGAAAAAAATGGAAATTTAGTTCAGCACATAAAGCCTAATTTTTTTTTTTAAAAAAATGTTTTTTGCATGCTTTCTCTAAAAGGCAAGCACTTCAGTAAGATATGATTATCAAAATAAAATCATCCTCATGTTTCTCCGAAGCATTCTGGAATCTGTGCGTGGGACTCCACTGAGCTCATGTGTGGGCTCGACTTCCCTGCACAGTGCTTTGACACACAGAGAGAAAAGAGAAGTCTGGCCACCTGATCCAAAGCAAACAATGTCTGCTGTCTGGGAATTCCAAGGAAAAATCCACCTGCCAATCATCTGAATAGCCCACACCTGATTAATGGGTTGCATAATTACAAAGCCTACCTCAACCACTTAACTTTGATTCTCTTTGGTCCAACATGGTACCCTTTTCATGTGTAAATAAAATAGGAGTCATGAGTCTCTCCACCACACACATTCTCTTCCTCTCTCTCTGTCATCACCACCTCCTCTTATTCAGGTGTATTTCCAAATGCATGGCTCACTTCTTTCTAGACATCATCCTGGGGATGGTTTTGGATAGCATACAGATGAGCATTTGCCACTTTTACAGTTACTTATATATACTTTGAGCTATATATTAAATTTGTTATATGTAGTCCATCAAACAAGTGATTTCACATATTTTATTGATTAGGACAATAAAGTAAGAATTTAAATAGAAGGTCTGAGTTAATCTTACGTGGATGTGGCAAGGATACTGAAGTAGCACTTGAGTGAGTTGTATTTGGCGGAAATTAACCATTAGCACCACCATGTTCCATGGCTCTGTAATGGTCGAAGGAATCATCTTCTCGTGCCCACCTTCTCCGTACTTTGGCATGGACCATCTCACTCTCCTCTTGTGACCAGTGTCATGCAGAGTAGGTTCTTGGGAAGACTGCATGTGGACAGAGCGACAGTTCCTTGCTGATAGTATCAATCACTAACAGCCCTTGGGAAGCTTATGGCAGAGCTGACTGCTGGCTCTAGATCAACTCTGACAGCCATAAGAAAAACACCTGGGGAGCTCGGCAATCCCTCAGTGCCTAGGGTGCATGTGGGTGCCAGTTAAATCAGAATCTCTGGACCAGGGACCTGGCTTCCCTATGTGTCTAATTCCCTGGGTGCTTTCAACAAACAGCCAAGGTTGACAGTCATGCATCTGGGTGATATAGTTGCCCGCAGCTACCTAAGTGACTGAAAGCTACTAGGTCTCAAAGAAAATGACTCGCCTATGGACTCCTAGACCACTGGGGCCTTTGCTCTGGACAGTCTCTGCCAGAAGCCTTCCACTTCCCACAGACACGTGACTCACTCCTTCATCTCCTTCCCATCCCTGCCGAATCTCACCGGCTACCATATTTCCTGCCGTGCTCTGTGCCCAGCCCGTGGTCCTACTGCTTCCTCTTGTACTGCATTGTCCTGTCTCTTCTTTTCCCGCAGTCCTCATTGTGCTCTAACATATATAATTTACTTCTTCCTTATCTTTACTGTTAATGACTGCATCACCCCTCTAAGAATGGAAGCTTTCTGGCACAGAGATCTTTATCTGCTTTCTTCCCTAAATATCTAGAAGGGCCCCAAGTATACAGTGAGTGCTCAATAAATACCTGCAACTTGAATAGCAACTGGAGCCAGAAAAGTGCGGATAGTTTGCTGATTCTGACCTTTTCACTGAACAGATGGGAAAACTGTAGCTCAGAGAGGAAAAGACATGGATCTAAGACCACAGAGGACAGCAAGGCAGCAGCTGAACTGGGACAGAGCACTCTTCCCTGACTCAGCAACCCCCATTCCCTGCACCATCTCCCTTGGCCCTCAGACGCAGGTTTCCTGCTTTGAAGTCTGCACACAAACACGTCCAAACAGGACACCTCAAAGCCAGGCCTTTGCTTCTGCCTGGGGTTTCCAATATCCATGCTCTGCTTTTAGAGGACACTATTAGCACTAGACCTTGATGAATCCAACTCGAAATCTGAGAACCTCGCTGCCCTGCATCCATAATCGCTCAGAGCCTGGAGACCACATAGCAAGATTGGTTTTTACCAGAGTTTTTTTTCCTAGCGATTTTTGTTTTGTTTTGTTTTGTTTTCCCTAATCTGGGCTGAAATAAAGAAGCTGTGAGACATAGGATTTGAATTTTGTAAATGAGCCTGCTGCTCACTGCACTTTTCAGCAAGATAAGGCCCAAATGGCATTTGCAGAAATGCTCCGCTATCTCTCCAGCAATCCAGCTCCTCTGCAGGCCCCTTGGTAACAGCTTGGCAAATCCGCAAAAGGAATGTGACTATATAGTTTGTGTGTGGACTGCGGAGTTATTATGGCTTCTAAATTGCCTAGCAAGTCATTAATCATAGGCCAAGATAGGCCATCACAGCGGCCCGCAGTGAAAGCCCCCAGTATAATGGCAGTGAAATCGTGTTTAATATGCAGCTCTCGCCAGCACAGATATGGAAGCGGGAGAGGGAAGGGAAAAAAAATCATCCCCCTTTTAGGAAAGAAAACTTCTACTTATCTTTGATTTGCATTCAGTCCTCCCTCAATAGTCCTTAAGCCTGTTATTTAATTCATTTTGGAGCCAGGGTTCATCACAAAGCAAAAACCCTAAGCGAGACCTATGCAGTCTGTGACCTCCAAACCCCTTGTCTTTTCTTGTCAGTTCTATGTCATTTGTGCAGTTGAACTCCACCAATTTGAAATGCTGACCTCTTCCATAGACAACCTTATTCTCTTTGCGTGAAAGAAAAGCCGAGAGCCGACAAACCACTCAAGCGGGAGATGGCAAGAAAAGAGAAAAGTGGTTGACTCATAAATCAATTTCCAGGCCCACCCAAAACCTACACATACATTGAATTTGTGTAAATTTTTAAAAATTTGCTGAACAGGTTTAGAAAGAAGAGACCTCCAAGCACAACATTTTTTAAACGTTGTGCATTGGAAGCAGAGAAAATGCAAGTGGACACCCTGCTCCCAGTGGACCAGAATCACACAGAAGTGCCCTCTCTTCTTTTATACCTGGACTCTCCAGGGTGGCTTGAAAAGAAAAGTAGAAAATAAGTGCAGGATTAAAGTTCCGTGTCCCTGGCAGAGGCATCAGAGGGGGTGGGTGGACTTAAGTGATGGAGCCTCGGAGACGCTGAACGCAGGAGCAGGCTGGCTGTGGCCCACCGTAGTATGTGCAGTGTGTGTATCTGTACCCAGATCTGCCCTTGCTGGGTTCGGGTCCTGCCCACCCTACAATGCAGAACTTGATCAAACTGGGACATCTGTGATTTACATAGCCAATTTCTTTGTTTGCTGCGTCTGTCACTTCTCATCAAGCCAGCTATTAACTACAACAGATGATTGAAATATATATTGAATATTTAATATTTCTTAAATTATTGCAGTGATACATATTGCCATGTATTCCCATCAAAATCCTCCCCATCTTTGAACACACCTATCCCATCATTCTTGCCACTTTCTGAAGCATATCTGGATGCCCTCCTTCGTGAGTGTCTTTACAGGGTGTG